TCATTGTGGGTTTAACAGCAGTTTGTCCATTGTTTTTCATTGTGAATTCAGTGTCCATTCACTCTAGGTTCGTAGTCAGTTCAGCATCATAATCTCAGCCATCTGTCCGTCATGGTCCATTGGTCAGGCGACTCCCTCTGTTAGTTCATGCCAGATCATCATCCATCGGCTCTGCTGCTTTTCCGTCCACTGCAGTGCAGCCTTCTTTTACTTCTTTTGTTGACCTTTGATTTTTTTTAAAAAGGGGCAAGTACGTTGGTTCATGCCAGATCATCATCCATGGGCTCTGCTGCTTTTCCGTCCAAGCCCTACCAGTTGTGGGCTTAACTTTAACAGCAATTTGTCCATTGTTTCGCACTGTCAATTCACTGTCCATTCACTCTAAGCTCATAGTCAGTTTCGCATCATTATCTCGGCCATCTGTCCGTCATGGTCTATTGGTCAGGCACCTCCCTCTGTTTGTTCATGCCAGATCATCATCGACGGGCTCTCCTTTTCCGTCCACTGCAGTGCAGCCTTCTTTTACTTCTTTTGTTGACCGTCGTTTTCTCAAAAAAGAAAGGGCCAAGTACGTTGGAGTCGCACCCAGAATTTGAAAGGTGATGAAAGACTTGAGAGAAGAATATTGCATAATAAATAAATAAATTAAAAAAAAAAAAAAAAAAAAAACCAAAAAAAACGTTGGAGTCACACCCAATGTTCAGGAGCATGGTCCCACTAGCAACGGGATAGGATAGAAACGAGTTTGTGTGGCATATTAGTGACCCAAATCCTGCCATGCAGTGCTTGTGATCCCACGGACAGTGTTTTACGTGTATTACCCGAAAAAGTAAGGAGATCTTTGTTCCTCTCCTCCTCTGCTTAACACTGGGAGGCCAAGGGTGTATTACCCGAAAAATCCCAGGGTGTTGTAGAGGCCAAGGACCAGACCGGCGGTGATTGCTAGTAGCAGCAGCCAATGGTTGTCCTGACAGGATAGGCCACCTACCCTACCCATCACCACGTTAATTCTCCCAGCGCACCATCCATCATACCTTACTGTACTCAACACACTGCAAGTCTAGTGTTATATTGAATGCGTGTAGAGTGGCACCCGCCAGCGATTCAGATAACAAGTTTACATGGATGTACTAAACCTAGTATTCAGCAAATGGAGATAAAAAATACTTGACAGTTGGTAGCTCAGGCCGCGGGAAGACTTCCAACATCCCTTCTCTCTGGGCCTAGCCCTGTCACAGATGAGGAGAGGACCTGAATAATATATTTATAAAAAAAGGGGAGCAAGGACAAGACCAGGGCACAACAAATGCTATAGTGGGCAAGACAGCATGGCATTGACGAGGTCTCTGGTATGCTTTGCTGCAGTCAAACTTGAGCTTCGTTATCAATAGCGGTCTTTTTTTTGCCCTTATTGGCCACTGGCCCGCAGGTACAGCTCCCCCCACCAACAATGGCGCCTTGACAAGCCAATGAAGTTGAATGAACAGACATCAACTTCAGTGTTACCCGGATGCTGTACGCTGTTGAAATCATTTTCTCAAAGAAAGAAAGAAATCCCCAATTCAGATTCGAAAAACAAGAAACGAACACCAATGGGCCTACTAGCTCAGTTGGTTGGTACACCCATGAACTGTTAAAAATTGAAATACAGACATGAGTTTGAATCGAGATGGAACGCGTTGAATGAATTTCTGAATTACTTGCGGCCGGCCAGTTCCACACGATGATATCCTACGGCCGTCAACCTTTTAAATTTAAAGAAAAAAAAAATGGAGAAAATAAAGAAAAAGAAAAAAAGGAGAAAATAAAGAAAAAGAAAAAGAAGAGAAAACTACGGCGCAGTCAGGGATTGAGTTTGTAATTGCACTTGAGGCAAAAGGGCCGGTAATGCTGAATGTATGTAACCTACGTTTCGGGTCCGGTGGGGTCGCGTGGGGGTGTGTTGTATTCGCGGGATTGCCTGAAGTGCAATTACAAACTGTTTTCGTGACTGCACCGAAGTTACCCCAAAAAAGAAAGGAAGGAACAAAAGATGCAGGGGGTGTATGGAATGGCTGATCCGATGATCTCGCGTTAGGAGGCTTGGCACTAGCCACCAGCGATTCTGACATGCAGTGTGTATGGCACGGCTGATCCTATGCTCTATGGATGCAGTGGGTATGAAATGGCTGATCCTATTCTCTGGCATTGGGTCCTAAAAAAAACTCTTATGTGGCCACAACAACTCATATCTGAGATGCAGTGCGTATGGAATGGCTGATCCTATTCTCTGGCATTAGTAAACTTGGGACTAGCCACAAAGCTTTAGTAACCAGATAGCCCACACACAGACACAACCACCAAAATGCAGAACACTAATTAAACCACCAGTACTTCCTAAAGTCATGCCCGTATACAAGACACAATTTTATGAAACGTACGATCCACTACAGGAGCGTCCAAATCCATCTGACTAGAAACAGTTCTAGTGCTTTCTTTCGATTAAGCACTTCAGGAGTTTTGTTTGGTCCGGTAAGATCAAAAGCACTAACGATAGTTGGCACGCTACACAGGATTCTCGCAAATTCTTCCCTGCAGCAGGACACGACTGACGTTATTAAGTTATTTTTTACTGAGTCGCTGCTTCTCGGGTACCCTACAAAAATTTTGAGACAGGCGGTACTGACACGAAGACGGTCAAAAATGTGTAAAAAAACAGTTTCAAAGTTGCTCCCCTTGATTTTAGTACAAGAACAGTTGCGGCACTGACTACATCTGACAGAAGGCAGGTGACGGACCTAAACGTACTCGACACAGAAGGTCGTCCCTAGCATCGTACGGATCGCTGGTTACGGACTTAACAGAGGTGGTACAGTAAAAAACAACGAGATTTCCTTTTGAGCACTCTGACACTCCCAAGGAGATTTGATTGCATCGGTCGACTGAGATTACGTTACACTGAGTTTTTACGTTCATCTCTGCTCCACGAGGGGTCCTTGCTAATTCGTAGGGGCCCTTCGGAAATGAGACACGCGAACGACAGCGGGGTTCGACGCGACTCAGCGATTCACGTTGGCGGGCCAGCGTGTGGAGACAAGCGGGGCGATATCGGTCCTCGCCATAGCTGATCTGGCCGGTGATGGGTGGCCACGCTCTTCGGGATACGGCGGTCACCTACTGGGCGTGAGAAAGCGGAGGCCAGACAACGGCGAATTGGCCATGCGCGAGTTCGAGAGGGAGCAATAGGTGCACGAGAGCCACGAAGATTCGCAGCAGACGAGGCGTGAAGACGAACTCGAAGAGAACTCAATAGTGATACGGGTAGGAGAAGCATGATTGGGCTACACGAAAGGTAGGTGGATGTTGCAATGGAGGCGGGTGAGACACGTGGGACGAACGGTGATTATGTGGAGAGTAACCGGTGCGCGAAAGCCACAAGGCTTTATAGTGGACAGAGCGTGAAGACGATCTGGGAGAGAGTCAGTGGCGAGAGGTGGGCGGGTGTGGTTTTTTTTTTTTTTTTTTTTTTTTTTGGGAGAAATCAGAACCTCGCAGTTCCGGCTCCTACCATTCTGGGGAGCAATAACAACCACGAACATCGATTTCGGGGGTGATTGGGGAGGAGACGGGACGGTGGCCGGTTATATAGAAGGAAAATCGGGGCGGTTGGGACTCGACGGGGCATGCGAAACTGAGCGGGGTTAAAACATTTGAAACGGCATCGACGACAAGGATGGGAGCACTGAAGGGGAGAGGACGGTGAAGGGAGCGTGGCTGCAAGGAAAGACCGGGGTACATGGACAGGTAGGGAGGCGATCAAGGAAGGGGCTTCGACGACACATAGGAGAAAGCAGCAAGAGTGACAAGGACGGTGGACAAGAGCAGCAACACTGGAATTAACAAGTGCACGAACACTCCGAGACACCTCGAGAACACATAGAGGGTAACAAGGAGAAAGCCGCAGGAGAGAAAAGGAGGTATATCATCGGGTCGCGCGCACCCTCTCCCCCCACATCATTGGTCCTGAGGTAAGTTCACCACCTCCTTTCTACTGGAGCGTTCCGCGAGCGCTGGCCTGGGGGCTATGGCAGAAGAGGGTAAGGGGGAGTAGGGGATTGGCGAGAGAGCAGGGGAACATTGGAACCCGTTGTAGGCAAGAAGAAGGTCGCAAAAAGGCATCCCATCCTGCCCCATCCAGGCCCGTGATAATTCACCCTGCTTTAACCAAAAAACAAGGAAAGAACTTCAAAGAAGTGAACTCAAAATCCATGACATCGAAAAAAAATGAACAAAAAGTAAACAAAAAATCCATTATACCGAATAAAGAACGAAAATAACTCGATACTGTAACACCACGCTGCTCCACGTAGCACTGTGCAACTTTAAAGGACGGAACTATGAGGACCATAATTAGAACGCAACGAGCACACAAGCGGCTGGACTCAATGCTCTTCTATAGTGGGGCAATGAGGCAGCTGGCAGACCAACATCTCAGACAGGGGAAATGGGCTCAACAGAGTCAACTCAAACGGGAGCCCAACCCCGACCCGGGCCTCGGAAAAGGAAAGGACTTGCACCGGGAGGAGGATATGGAGGTATTGACTAAGGAAGAGAAGGAGACAGAGTTGTGCCGGACAGTGGAGTATAGGGAAACACTGCCCCCCCCCACACAGGACTTGGGCAATGGCCCTTATCAACCCTCTTGGACTGACAGGCTCAAGAATTCAACCAAGGGCAGAACGATCACAATACCTAGAGGGCCAGGGGGCCCGCGCACCGGGAAATTAGACATTCCCCTGGATGGGCTGCCGCTAGCACGGACGTTCTTTATGTCGAAATTCCTGCTCCCGTCAGAAACAAAGGTAGTAATGCAGGGAGGGAAGCAGGTGATGGTCAAGGCATACTCCAACAACGGGGTTGACAACAGAGATGAGATTTACATAAGACATGCGAATAATTGGGTTCCACGATGATGCGACATTTAAATTAGTTAACGAGAACGTCAAATGGATTGGCTGCAGATTAGAAACATTGAAAGTAAGCGTTGAGCTGGCTAGAGACCAATTTCTAATTCAGCCAGTCTCGAACACTCTGGTTACGGTCATGTGCATGCATGAAGCTGACAAGACTGTGATTGACAGCTGGCAGCGTCTGCGATGCGAGCGGTCTGAGGTACGGATCCACCCGTGGGTGCCACAACGTCGGTTGGGACCGGAGGAAAGGAGGGCACAACTTATGCAAGATTATTACTGGGTGGAATTCCGCCATATCCCGGTTGAAATTCAAGCTGCGTTTGTCTATGATTTCGGAATGATTTACGACATTGTGGCTTTTATTGACCCTTTCCCCTCTTTTGTGGCCAAAAGGGACGATTACTTAATGTTGGCACTTGATTTTGCCCCGGGCCAGCCTTTCTCCCTCGATGATGTGATCCCGTACAGAATAGGGGGAAAGGAATACATGATCCATACTGCGCACAAGATGCGGCCGTGGTGCCCTAAATGTAGATCGTATGGACACCTCAGCACGGAATACGCCTGTCCGCGACATCCGCAGAAGAGAACCCAAGTGTCCGGGCGACTGTTAAGGGATCCGAATAAGACGACCCATAGGAGGGTCGTGGACCTGGGGCACAAGGGTTGGGTTTACATAGAAGAACGAACAAAAGAGGGCACCCCGAGGGGATGGGTGTGGGAAAGAACGGGAGAGCCAGAATGGGAGACACCCCCCCCAAGCTCGTGGACCCCCCCAACACCGGTGGAAGAGAAGATGCAGCAAATGCAGGTAACCTCCCCACTAAAGAACCACGAAGATCAGGGATGGACCAAGGTCGGGAGAAAAGGAAAGAAGGAAATTTGGACCCCGAAGAAGCAGGTGGGGTCCAACATGGAGCAAAAGGAAGAAAGTCGTGGAGGGAATCCCGAGGGCACTTTGGGCTTCGATGCGATACAATACATCCCAACAGTAAATGGTTCTCTAGAACATAGAAATAGGGGCGGCGCGTCCGTCTCGGGACAGGCAGATGGGGAGGTTGAGTTAAAAGGTAACTCAACACTGGCATATGGGGAGGTGGAGTTAAAAGGTAATTCAACACCTGCAGAACACCCCTCGAGCATTCGCCGGTCTGATCCCGGTTGCTGATGGAATCAGGTCAGATTCGAATACAGGACAACACGGATACTAGGGAAATGGAGATTCCCGAGGGAAATAAGTCCGGGCAACAGGAGGAGATTAGGGAAAGATTGGCCCGGGACCTGATGAGGGACCCTTTCCAAGCTGCCTTCGCTCCAGAGCCGATGGATGTTGACCCCCTCTTGAATAATGCCAGTGCATCGCCCGAGGGATTGGGCCCAGGCAGGGAGGAGAAAGAAGCCGGGGAGGAAGGGGTTCCGCCGCCCCATATGGTTGTAGAGCAAAAACTGGTCGCCATTGCAGACAGGCTCATGAGCAATCTAAAAGTGAAGTATGGCCCCCTCACGGATGATTTCTGGGAACATACTTAGACTTGTTCCCCATGCTGGATACCAGTTCATCACTCAAATGTGTGCTGGAACGGGGACTGCAGTCGGGCGTGGCATGGAATGAAGCATGGCACAGACTGACCACCATAGTTTTTTCACGCTTTCAGCCACCCCACCCCGCCACCCACGGGTGGGGGGGTGAGGAAACGGAACAGAGTTTGGACGAGGTGGATAAGGACAAAAAACAACCGCCCCGGGCCTTGCAGCCCCCCCCCCCCCCCCCCCCCGCCCCTGTGCCCTCGGACCCAGACGAAAATACTCCACTAGAGCTGTTGCGGAGAAAGAAACTTAGACACGTTGTTGAGCTGGGTCAAGACACGGGGCCATTATCGCAAGACGTTCTATTACTGATCCCTGTGCGTGAGAAGGACGGGAAATGGGAGGTTGGGTTGTCCCTGACTGGGAAGGGAGGGCAAGGAGGCCTCAGATTACAAGGTCTGTCTTCCTTCTGGGCCGACCCCAAGAATTGCCAAACGGAAGCAGCAACAGGTATCCTGCAGATGCACTTGGAAACATGCATTGCAGATACCCTCCAACCAGGGGCACAGGCTATGGCATTGGTGACTTCTGGTCCCAAAAAAATCGCCCTTAGGGACGTATACATCCGTTTTGACCCGACTAGAGAGGATGGAGTGAAATGGTACACCCACTCCCGACTTTTGGACTTACAGGTAGTCAAGATTAACTTTGGTGAGAATTGGATAGAGCAGGATGTCCAGAAATGCCTGAGTGTTATTCTTAGGTTGGGCTTACTGTCGGCAATAACCGGGTGGGACTGGGAGCACCTACCATGGTATCGCCTAGGGACCTGGAGATTGACAGAATGACAATGGACCCGGTCAAAGCGGTGTACGGAAAGGATCGGATCTGGAACCAATGTCAGCGGGCAACGAACTTAGACCTGCGGTCCCTGAACATAAACGGCTTGGCGTCCTGCAAAATGGATAAACAGAATGCGATATGGGATCTGATGAAGGGGGTGGGGGGCAGAAATTGGTCAGATGTTGTATGTATCCAAAGAAACACATTTAATGGACACTCCGGGTCATATTCGCATCCATAAAAGGATATGGCCATACAAGGCAATAAGGGCGCACGCCCCGAGACCAGGGAGTGTTGGGGTGGCTATCTGGATCCCCCCCAAATCCTGGGCGGACCCGGTACATTGGGTGGTCGATCAGGAAGGGGGCTGATGGGTGTCAATTCTGGTGGCGCTGGAATTAGAAATTGTTTGTATAGTGTGCATCTACGCCCCGAATTGCACAAGGGAGAGAAGGGTCTTCTTCGAGATCCTGAAATCACGAATTCCAGACGGGGTCCCAATAATTATAGTAGGAGATTGTAACGCAGCCCCGGATCGCTGGATGGATAGGTGGAAGACACCCTTCCCGGCCCCGGCGTACATAGAGGAGGATGAACGAATGATAGAGGATCTATGCCTCTCATTAAAGGTCTTTGACTCTTTTCGAAAACTTAACCCAGACGCTCGATATTACTCACGTTTACGAAAAACGGGGACCGAAGCCCAAACAAGATTAAGGATAGACCTGATTCTGATCTCAGAGGACATGGGGGGATCGCTATTACTGGCGGCAATTATGCCCGCCAGCCCGCACCCGGGTTTGGATCACAAAATGTGTACTGTTATTTTGTCATTCCGCAAGAAACCCGATCACGGACCTAACTTTTATAAATATGTATTCATCCTGCAACAGAAAGCCTTTCAAAAATACATCAAGGATTGTTGGGAGTTCTGGCACACGCATAAGCAGCACATACTGCAAGAAACAGATTGGTTCAACAATGAACTATTATATCTGGGTTAAAAATGCAGAGAATAGTCCAAATTGTTAATGGCCCGAAAGAATCAACAGGAAATGGATGTTCATAATCGTTTCCAGCAACTTGAACAGCAAGATCCTGAAAATCATGATCGGTCTGAATTATAATCCTTATGGCAACAACTCCAGACATATGCAACACAACGCTTGGAAGGAACACGTATTCGGGGACGGCTGAAACGTCACGAAGCGGAGGGTTCAATGGAAAAAAAAAATTTCAGCCTGGCTCGTGTCGTTCACGCAGAACTACAATAGAGGCGGTTTATGATCCGCAGTCAAGAAACCAAGAGGTAGTCACATCCACGCCGCAGTGCATGCACATTGTGAGATCCTTTTTTTAAGACCTGTTCACCTTCAGATACACGGAACGGGAGGAGGTTGCCGCGAAAAAGGAAATGACGGAATTCTGAGAACCAATGAGGAAAGCCCTATCGGGCCAGCAAAAGGAACAATTGGACAGACCCCTTTCCAAGGAGGAAATTTGGACAGCCCTGATGCAGATGGAGGAGGAGAAAACCCTGGGAATAGACGGTTTCCCAAAAGAGTTTTGGGAAACCTTTTGGTCACTAATGACCTCGGACCTCATGGGGTCCTATCAGAAGGTGTTGGAAACAGGGTATATGGGGGAACTGGTAGGACAAGGGGTCCTCACCTTAATACATAAAAAGGGCGACCTGATGTACATTAAAAACTATCGTCCAATAACTCTGCTCACAGTTATCTATAAAATATTAGCAAAGGCTTTGGCAAACTGCCTGATCCCGGTTTTGGAAAGCATCATCAACAACCATTTCGTCAAAATGGACATTTTTTTTTTTTGAACAAATTTTGACGAGTTTTCGGCCAAAAAACTCGGTTTCAATTTCATTCAAAAAATAAAAAATGTCAATTTTGACGAAATGGCCGTTATCTACCCGACACAAACCGGGTTTGTCAAAGGACGTAGGATCCATGATAATATTTTGTTGGTCAATGAGATTCTTAAGCTAACAAGGCAGGACAAATGCAATATTGCCGTGGTTTTCATCGACTTCGAGAAGGCATACGACCATGTGGACTGGACTTTCTTAGATATATGCATGTAGAAAATGAATATTGGGTCAAAGTTTCGACGTTGGACCGGGATTTTACACAGTCACGCTACGACGAGCGTCCAGGTCAATGAAATGATGGCACCAGTAATCTCGCTACAGCGGTCGGTTCGCCAAGGAGACCCCTTGACCCTTTTTTTTTTTTTTTTGTAATGGAAGCATTGACAGCGAATCTACTCACTAACAAAGACCTAAAAAACTGCAGATCTCTGTCATCCCTGAGGAGGCGATTCCAGTATGCTCGATGTTTGCGGATGACCTGGCGGTAATGGTGGACGCCACCGCTGAAAATATGGAAGAGATTAACCAATTGGTGGATCGATTCATGCTAGTTTCGGATATGAATGTCAACTAGGGAAATAAAACACTTGGATGGTGGATTCACCACCAAGGAGTGCGTCCGCCGGAGCAGCCGTGGGTTAAATGGGTACCGAAAGACGCCTCGGTCAGGGTACTTGGCATAATGCTGACTACCTTAGGGAAGCCGGCATTGAACGACGAATGGATCCTCAAACCTGCATTGGAAAGACTGACACGCTGGAATGACAAGCACACATCTCTGATTGATACAACATTGGCAATAAATAATGTGGTATTAGCAGCCCTCTGGTATAAGTTCGCACTTTGGACCCTCAACAATGAGGCGGTTAAATCACTTAAGAGGCAAGTTACTGCCTTGTTGTGAAGAGGAAACAGTGAGCTCCCGAATGTCATAAGCAGGGTGGACTGGACATCAGTGATCCAGCCCAGGGACAAAGGGGGCTTGGGTATCCTAGACCCGGACACCCAAGTGGCTGCGCTGATAGCACAATGAATCAGAAGCCTGATATTCATGCCAGACCTTCCCTGACATGCCCTTGCGCTCGAACAGATCACTAGATTGGCACCACAGGCGCCAAGAGGAGTAGATCCCCTGACTTGGCTAGAGGACCGTTATTGGCCCATACCACGGCACCCTCGGGTCGACAGAGACTCCTCTCGTGGAGCAGTGAGGAGGGATTTGGCCAGAGATGACTTCTGGCCCCGGGTACCGAAGG